CAGTAATAATTTTTAAGATACACATTAAAAATAAGGCAAAGTCTGTCAGTTATTTCAAAATTAATACTGCTAATGAGAGTGCTATGATCATACTGTTGGTGGCAGTATAGCCAAGCTTAATTTCTCAAGAAGCCAGTTTAAAAGTAAGTATGTGCAAAGAAAGACCTGAAAAGTGTTAAAATTTTTCTAGTGTTTCCCCACATTTTGGAATTAATTCCAAACAAATAGCCAAAAATAATAGCACAAATTGGAATTAAAATGGTTGCATGCTGTGATTAAAGCTGCAAACAGATGCTCGTGAAAATCTTGAAACTACAAGTAATTCATTTCCTTCCGTGTGATAATATGATTTTATTGGTTTGTTAACTAAAATTTAATATATACTTGCAAACTTTTAGGTTTTTTCAAAGTTATATGTGAATGTGGTTTAAAGAACCACATAGTTTTGTGACTTTTTTAGGGAAAAGAAAAAAAAAAACAGTCCCCTGTCTCCTCCTTTTACATTTTTCTTCCTGGAACATTGAGCAATCCCTTTTCTCTTTCAGTTGGTTATTTTGCTATTCATACCATGTCTCCAGTAACATGCTCATTACTTCTTGTTGTTTTTCAGTTTAGCTGCTATCTGTTAATGAAGAATGATTTAGTCTTCTTCCCATGTCTCTTCATACCTATTTCCTATGTCCAGTTTATCAGTACAATTATGTTGTAATTTTGGTTTAGAAAGTGTTTAATGTTTTTATGGTATGTATTTACAACTACATCACTGTAATAAACTATTACTTTTCCTTTCCTGCACAATTTTTTTTCTAGTATTAATAATTTTCTTAATTTTTTGTCTTTTTTCCCCCCTATGTATACATTAAAATCTACCCCACCCTATTTCTGAATAAGGAAGGGGAGTATGGTCAAAGCTGTATGTTCACTAACTTTAAGCCATTTTCTTGACATATTGAACACTGTTAAACTTGATAATAAAGATGTTATTGGATTGAGAACTGATAAGTCAAATTGGTAGTTTGCTATTTAAATTAGGTGGCTTTGACATTTGAATTACACTTTCATAAGAGTCAGTTAAGAGGCTGAACTGAGGCTTATCACGGTGTTCAACAATTTACAGGACCTCGATGTCTTAAAATAATTATAAGAACAGCTAGCTTTAATTGGACACAAAGTTTCCCTGGTGGGGAATAAGTAACCTGTGTGTTGTCAGAAGCATTAAAAAAATGTCAGTTGTGAAAAGATTGTCTTGGAGATTCTGATTATTTTTTTCCTAGACCTTAAGAAAAAGAAGGATAATTTTTAACTGGCAGTTCTCGTGAATGGCAGGGTGGTACCAAATTAAGGATGTGCAACAGTGACAAGAAAAAGAAAAACAAAGGGTGAAGATGGGCGCAGTGACAAGGAACTGAGGCTGCGGGCAGGCGCTGCTTTTAGAAAGAAGGCAATGTGGGGATGAGTGGAGACAGACAGCCTTGCGGGTTGAGGCAGAGCTTGGGTCCCAAGGGTCACTCTCTTCATGGGCTCTGCAGGCCCTTTTCATGGTGCATGTTTTGTAGGTTGAGGTGCATCTGGAATGGAAGGAGGTGGAAGTCTGTTCACCGAAGAGGAACTAAATATTTCAGTAGCTTCAAAAGGCATCCCAGACACTGTGTTTACTGGTCTCACATGTTGTTTGTATTCACAAGTAGCAGAACAGACATAGCAGTCTTCCTTTTTTTTTTTTGGAGTTGGAGTCTCACTCTGTCACCCAGACTGGAGTGCAGTGGCCGCTCCCGGCCACCTCAGCCTCGACCTGCTGGGCTCCGGCGATCCTTCTGCCTCAGCCTTCCAAGTAGCTGGAACTACAGGCATGCACTGCCACGCCAGGCTAATTATTTTTGATTTATTGTGGAGATGAGGTCTCGCCAAGTTGCCCAGGCAGGTCTCGAACCCGCAGGCTCAGGCAATTCACTCACCTCTGCCTCCTCGGGATTACAGACTGAGCCACCGTGCCTGGCGTAGCAGTCTTCTTGTAAAGTAGCTTTCTACAGTGTGGTTCCAAGTTCCCTGTAACGAAAGGTTGAAAAGCAGAAATGCAGGTAGTTGTTCTGACATTAGATGAGAAAATGTAGGTTTGTACATGGATGTTTAGAATGCAATAAAGATAGATATGATGTGTTGTTGATTGATTTGGTATGGAAAATCAAAGCATAGGTGTGTATATTCTTTATTTAAAGTAACCCAAGCTCAATTAGCGTGCTGGTTTCTTTTTTACTGTTTTTAGATGCTTGAATCTCAGTGGAAAGATTAGAGATTGCTGAATTGTGCCTTTTTTTTTTTTTAAGAGTTGCATTGGCATTCCAAAACTGTGAATGTGACTTTAGTAGATTAGGAAACTGGTGAAGTGTAGGGGATGGAAAAAGCAAACCATGAAGCTGTAAGAGGATTCTGTAGTTCCTGCTGAGAGTTCATTGCTGCAATACTATTATGAATTTTATAATGCCAATGAAATTGGGATGGTGTGGTGAGTCTTCCAACTTCCATTCAAATACTGCTGAATTGGTGACTCCAGAGAGCTGGCCTAGAGCTGACTTGGGACGTGCTTATATACTGCCTGTGATGGGAATATTTTGGTAGCTGTCTTTCAAAGGAGTCACAACAGAGAGACTTTTTTCCTCCTGATTCTATACTTCGGAAATTTAAGTGAAAGATCATAATACTACATCTCATAATGGTAATACCTCAGGTTAATATGCTTAATTACTTTACAAAGCAGTGTCATATATATCAATCAGTTCAACTGATGGTCAAGTGTAGGTGTCATTCTCTGGTTAGCGGAGAAGTAACAGTGGCAGTACTGGGGTAAACTAGAGACAAAGACTTCTGACTCCTGTTTTTGTCTTACACACAAAATATTATATTTGAGCTGGGCATGGTGGATCACGCCTTTAATCCCAGCACTTTGGGAGGCAGAGGCGAGAAGATTGCCTGAGCCCAGGAGTTCCAGACTAGCCAGAGCAACTTGGCAAGACCTGTCTCTACAGTATTTACTTAACTGGGCATGGTGGCATGCACCTGCAGTTCCAGCTGCTTGGAAGACTGAGGCTGAAGGATCGCCTGAGCCCAACAGGTTGAGGCATTCTCATGGCCACCTCACTCCAGCCTGGGTGGCAGAGTGAGATTCCTACTCAAAAAAATAACAAAATACTGTATTTGGTAGATATGTCAGAAATGGGGGTGGGATAACAACTTGCAGTTAACTAACATTTAAATATTACAAATATAGCAAAATAATGAACAAAGCTTTTTACTACTTAAAATATGTATAATTTTATTTGGTTCTTATAGTTGCAGGAAAATAGGACAGAAATTAACATTCTACTTTATAAGTACTAATAAGGTTAAGTGACTTGCCCAAGGACTCATAGCTAGCAGGTGGCAGAGTCAGTTCTCTCACTGAGCTCTTTAGCCCCTCACTAATGAGTCTTCAGCGTCCGCACAGTCTCGCTGCTTCTCCTCACTTTACTCTTTGTATGCCATTGAATCACAGGAGGAAACTTAACTAATGTCTGACTACCTACATTCCTGTCAAGATAGATAAAGATTGATGAGGTCATGAAACCATTGAGTGATATAAATGTCAGCTGTTTTTATACAATTGAGAATGTCAAGAAAACTGATTTCTACTATTACTTAAGAACTCCTGTAATGAAACCTTTAAACAACAAAGTCCTTTATATAATCAGGAAACTATACATTTGTTGATTTTTAGATTTAGTTTACTTAAAGCACATTTTACATTACTTATATAATCCAGAATGAGGGTTTTAGTGATTTCTCTTGGTTTCTACCTCACTGACCTTTAAAGCACCAATCTGGAACATTAAAAAGGCTTATTTTAAAACCTTGCTAAACACCTTATAATGTATTTTCCTGTTATTCGCATATTGTGTGTATGTGTGTACATGCCTTTGTGCATATGCTCACACATGGGTGTGAGAGACAATCAAGACATAATAACTTCTGGTTCTTTCCTTGGTCTTCAGTGTCCTTAAAAGTCTCCAGAGTGAAAGGGTTTTGTTTGTTTTGTGAAGTGAATTGAATAGATTACACACAGGCAATACTAAGTTGGTCAGTCTCTCTAGTAGCAGGAACCTAGGATTATTTTAGTTTTTATCAGTTATTTTTCTTATGTCAGGCAGTCATTTTGTTAAGTGATCACTGTGAAATGACTTTTTATATTGACTAAGTAGTATTAGAAGATAATTTTTCTGAAAAATAGTGTTTATAGTGTATATATATATATATATATATATATATATCTATGTATCTGTCACCCAGACTGGAGTACAGTGGCCGCTCCTGGCTACCACAGCCTCGACCTGCTGGGCTCCAGCGATCCTTCCGCCTCAGCCTTCCGAGTCGCCGGAATTACAGGCATGTGCTACCATGCCCGGCTGATTTTTTTTATTTATTATAGAGATGAGGTCTCGCTGCCCAGGCCGGTCTCGAACCGCGGGCTCAGGCAATCCACTCACCTCAGCCTCCCAAAGGCATGGGATTGCAGGCTGAGCCACCAAGCCTGGCTAGTATATATATTTTTATAGTATATTTTAGATGGGTTATTTAATATTTAATAATATGGGTTATTTAATATTTAATAATGATTTCATTATTATCAGATATACAGATATGTATAAAGGTTTAAGATATACAAATATACTGATATGATAGAAGGAGACCCTGACTTTGAAGGTGTTTAATTTTAATTAAATCTTAAAATTTGTAACCTGGCTTTTTTTTTTTTTTTTTTTTTGAGTTGGAGTCTCACTCTGTTGCCCAGACTGGAGGGAAGTGGCCGCTCCCTGCCACCGCAGCCTCAACCTGCTGGGCTCCGGCGATCCTTCCGCCTCAGCCTTCCGAGTAACCGGAATTACAGGCGCGTGCTACCACACCCGGCTAGTTTTTGATTTATTGTAGACATGAGGTCTCGCCAAGTTGCCCAGGCGGGTCTCGAACCCGCGGGCTCAGGCAGTCCACTCACCTCAGCCTCCCAAAGCGCTGGGATCACAGGCTGAGCCCAGCTAACCTGGCATTTTATACAGTAAAAACTACAATAAAAAACCTGTGAGTAGAGATTTTTGTAATTAAGCCTTGTAATAGAAGAAAATTGCTATGGAAAATAACCCCAATTCCTTTCTTTTTTTTTAATGGACAAAAACTGTATATATTTATCATGTACAGCATGGTGTTTCTGAAATGTGTACACTATGGAACTGCTGAATTGTGCTAATTAATGTGTTATCTCACATACTTTTTTTCCAGTAGAGTCTATTTTTATAGAAAAATATAAAAGTACAACAATTAAACAATTATTGGCATTCTTGTAATTTATAATTACAAAATGCAAGTATGTTTTACTGAATATTATCTTCAGCTTTCATTGCAACAATTTAAATCTTTAAAAAAATCTCATACTTTTTTTGTGGTGCAAACATTTAAAAACAGGAAACTCTTCACAAATTCATATGTTAACCTCATGCAGGGGCCGTGCTAGTTGGCTAATCTCTGTGTTTTTTAGTTTTTGAATCTGGGTTTAACTCTGTCACTCAAGCTGGAGTGCAGTGGCACAGTCATGGCTCACTACAGCCTTGACCTCCTGAGCTCAGGCGATCTTTCCACTTCAGTCTCCTGAGTGGCTGGGACTACAGGCAAGCACTTATTTATTTTTATTTTTGTGGAGACGAGGTCTTGCTGTCCTGCCCAGGCTGGTCAGGAACTCCTCCCAGAGTGCTGGGATTACAGGCGTGAGCCGCTGTGTCCTGCCATCTCTGTATTGTTTCAGTCTCAGTGTATGTGCCTGCTGAATGAAGTAAACTCCCTAATTCCTTTTATTTAGGGTTCTAGTTAACCTTTCTATTATGTGCATCCATGTATTTTGTTAAGCAAGATCTTTTGGTTGCCAAAAATGCCTTTCTTTCCCCCTTGGTTAGAAAATTGATTTTCTATTTCAGTAATTTTAAGCGTGCATGTAAGAATTGGTGAAACTTGAATAAGGCCTGTAGTTTAGTTAATAGTAGCATATCAATGTCAGTGTCTTGGTTTTGAAAATGTACTATGATAACATCTTATTGCAGGGTAAAAGGTGCATAGAAACTGAACTGTTTTTACAACTTCTTGTGAATCTTAAATTGTATCAAAATAGAAAGGTTAAAAAATAAAAATTTATCTTTGAGGATTATTAAGTATGGATGTGCTTTTATTTTTATTTATTTACTTTTTGAGTCAAGGTCTCACTCTGTCGCCCAGGTTGGAGTAGTAGCATGATCACAGCTCACCACAGCCTCGACCTCCTGGCTCCAGGTAATCCTTCTGCCTTAGCTTCCTAAGTAGCTTAGACTACATGAGCATGCCACCACACTTGGCTAATCTTTTGATTTTTTTTTTTTGTAGAGATGAGGTCTCTGTGTTGCCCACGTTGGTCTTGAACTTCTAGCCTCAATGGTTCTTCTGCCTCAGTCTCCCCAAATGCTGAAATTATAGGCATGAGCCACTGTTCCCAGCCTGGATGTGTTTTTAGAAACTGCATTTTATTGGTTTTATGAATTGGAAGTTGGAATAAATATTTTTAATATTTCATGAGACTAATGTTAAATATAGAAGACTATTAGTGATTCCTTTATATTTGCATCAAAAGTAGTATAATAATTATTACAATGACTGAATTGCCCAATTGTAAGTTAGCCCCACTCTGAATATATAAATTATAGAGTGGTAGAATACTTTTAACTGTGATGATATAATGGAAATCAACAGCAAAAGAATAAAATAAATTTCTGGTGGCAACTGCTAGTTATTTACCAGAATCCATTCTTTCATTTATTGTCAGTGAAGTCATACTTTGATGCCTACAACAATCTAGTGAAGACTTGAGTAGATAACTAAGCTGAATTGAAATCATTCTGAGTTATAAAACTAACATAGTCTCAGTGAAGAAAATTTGGAAAACTCTAAAACATGAGCCATAGTAGAATATTTTGGCGAGGACATAGCTGTGTCCTGTAAAGACCAGTGTCTAGCACTGACTGTGGTATGTGGGCCTTCATCGTTTCCCTCACTCTTGTCTCCACCCTAAAGATCCTCCTTGCGCTGTGGATCAAAAGGCTTCTTCCACCGAAAGGCAAGGGAGGCAGCATCCTGCTTTGGTGAGGCCATATTTCCTGGCCTTCAGCTGGTTGAGGCCACATGGCCAAGCCCTTGCCAGTGAAATGTGAGAAGTGGTTCTCTGAAGAAGACAGATCTGAAGCTGGCCTTCCTGCTGGCTGGAGTAGCACCTTGTGAAGCCGATGTGGCTCTGGGTAACGAACAGAACTGCCCTGACTCCTGGAGTAGTTACCTTGGACTGTTGGCAATCCACTGCCTTTTGAGAGAGGTCTCTTTGCAATAGCTGCTTAGCCTATGCCAGCAAAATGCATACTTCATCTAAATTGAATATGTACATTCAGTTCATCTAATTGAATTTATCATCTCTACAATAAATAAAAAATATAGTTGGGCATGGTGGTGTACGCCTGTAGTTCCAGCTACTTGGAAAGCTGAGGTGGAAGGATTGCCTAAACCCAGCAAGTCAAGTCTGTGGTGACCATGAGCATGCCACTGAACTCCAGCCTGGGTAACAGTGAGACTCTGACTCAAAAAAAAAAAAACCAAAAAACACCCCACCAAAAACAAAACAAAACACCAAAAAACAAAACCCAAACTTAAATGGTAGCTTTCGAATTAAATTTGTTCTAGACTATTTAAAAAAAAATGTTTAGCCGGGCATGGTAGCACATGCCTGTAGTTCCAGCTTCTTGGAAGGCTGAGGTGGAAGGATCATGGAGCCCAGCAGGTCGAGGCTGCAGTGGCCATGAGCATGCCATTGCACTCCAGTCTGGGCGACAGAGTGCGACTCCAACTCAAAAAAAAAAAGAAAAATGTAACCCATGTATGCCACATATGATAATTCAACCTAACTTATTCAGATAATCATAACACTCAATTGACTGAAGTATCATTTTAAATGAATGGGAATGTTTGGTAACTTATTTTTGTAGATACTCACCCTCAAACTTGAGATGGCTTGCATGAAGCTTACTAGGAAAGCTAGATAACCCACTGCTTGGCATTGCCCACAGGTTCTGGTTTTATAGGTAGGTAGAGTGCAAGAATGTGCCTTTATAGTTCCAGCAGGATCCTACTGCTCCCACAGCCACACTTGGATTGACGCTCGTGCAGGGTGTGTGATACCTTTTCAGATTTATAGAAAAATACATAATATAGCAAGCATCTGAATCCCATTATCCTGTTCTAACAAATAGTGTTATATCACATAGCTTCAGATGCCCTTCTTTTAAAGAAATACAACTGTGCAGATGCAGTTAAATATGTACACCTCCTCCTGACAGCTTCTTCCCTCCCTCCCTTCTCAAGAGGATGACTCCTCTCAAGTGTAATCATCCCTGTGTTCTCTTGCTGCCTGTGTATATATGCCCCCAAAGTAAGATATTTTGCATCCTTTTCAGTTGTCTATAAATGGTATGTCATGTATCTTTTTGCAGTTTACTTTTTAAATTATGGGGGAACCCCAAAAAATCTGGAATTATCTTTTGGAGAGTGGGCTCCTTGTACAGGCTTTCTCTGCTGGGTAAGTGTTCTAGTGTGCCAGTTAGTATTGTGAGAGACTCTGTTTGGCTTCAGTGAAATTAAAAAAAAAAATTTTATTTTAAAAATGTGGGATACAATTTAGAGTTAGGTACACAAATGTTCATTATGCAGGTACTTTTGCTAATGATGAGATTCTTTCAACGTGTTTGTCCATTTCATGATGAGTAATTTGTGAGCACACCTGTTTACACTCACTGACTGTTCAGCAGTTTTTTGTTCTGTTTTTTGAGTTGGAGTTCACTCTGTTGCCCAGACTGTAGTGCAGTGGCATGCTCCTGGCCACCGCGGCCTCAACCTTCTGGGCTCTGGCAATCCTTCCACCTCAGCCTTCCAAGTAGCCGGGAACTACAGGCGCGCTACTACGTCCAGCTAGTTTTTGATTTATTGTAGAGACGAGGTCTCGCCAGGTTGCCCGGGTGGGTCTTGAACCCACGGGCTCAAGCAATCCACTCGCCTCGGCCTCCCAAAGTGCTGGGATTACAGGCTGAGCCACCGAGCCCGGCCTGTTCAGCAGTTTCTGATCAAAGTCATGACCCTCATTCCCCACCCTTCCTATTCACCCGATCTTGCTCCAGCAACTTTTTTCTTGTTTCCCCCAGATGAAAAAATCCTCAAAGGGACACATTTTGCCGATGTGAAGGAGGTGAAACAAAAAATGGCAGAAGCACTAAAAGGCATCAAAATTGACAAGTTCAAAAACTGTTTTGAGCAGTGGAAAAAGTGTCTTGATAGTGTATTACATTAAGTTGAAGTTTAAACATATCAGAATAAAGATGCAATTTTTAATTTATAAGTTCCGGGTTTTGGGGGGCGGGGGGTCCTGCCTTGTATATTTCAGAGATTTTTTTCATGTTAATATACGTTCTTTCATAGTCACATCACTGCAATGCTATCCTTACATAAATATACCATATTTATCTTACTTATTCTACTGATGGGCATTTAGGTTGTGATAGACAGAGCAATTATTATATATAATTGTTATATAATTGACTGCTATTTCTTATTTACCTCCTTTTTTCTGGGGGTACTTCCACCAGTACTATAAGATAGTTTCTGTTTCTCTACATGAAATCTTTGCTTAACATCTGGTTTATATAGTCATGGATTGGTTTTTGTCTGTTAGTATCTCAGAACATTATCTAGATTCACAGCATCTAAATTATTAGAAATCATGTTGCTGCTTTATCAACTTTCTGGTTATGTCCTTTGCATAGTTGTCTATGCAATATTAGCGTGTTTTCCTCATCACTATACATGTTTTATTAATTCTGAATACTGATCTTTGCTATGCATTGTTTATCACACACATTGCAAATATCTTCAAGTATATGGCTTGTCATATACTTTGTGGTTTACTATATTATAGAGCAATTTTTAAAGAGTTTAGTTAAATCAATATTTTTCTCTATGGTAGGTGCTTTCTGTGTCTTGCATAAAAAATCCTTAGGCTTGGTGGCTTATGCCTGTAATCCCAGCACTTTGGGAGACGGGGATGAGAGGATTGCCTGAGTCCAGGGTTCGAAACCAGCCTGGGCAACTTGGCGAGACTGTGTCTCTACAATAAATCAAAAAATTAGCCGGGCGTGGTGGCGCATGCCTGTGGTTCCAGCTACTTAGAACGCTAAGGCAGAAGGATATATAGCCCAAGCCCGGCAGATTGAGTCTGCATTGGCGGTAAGCATGCCACTGCACTCCTGCCTGGGCAACAGAGTGAGACTCCTACTCAAAAAGAAAGAAAAAAATATTTGCCTAGTCTAAGTTCATAATGATACTCTATTTTCTTCTAACACTTACTGAGAATTTTCCTTTTCACACACAGGTCTTTAATCCCCTTGGAATGGACTTTCACCTATAGTATGAGGAATATCCATTTTCTCAATCAATATTATTGATTCTTCTTCTAGACTGTTCTGCTCCACTTGCCTATTTGTCTGTCCCTGTGCTAATGCTGTGTTATTTTAGTTAGCGTAACTTTATTTTTTATTTATTTGGGTTTTTTTTTTTTTGAGTCAAAGTCTCTATCACCCAGGCTGGAGTGCAAAGGCACCCTAACAGCCACCGCAGCCTCGACCTGCTGGGCTTAGACAAACAAACAAAAAAGATATGTTATCAGTCTTTCCCTTATAATACTTTTTGTATACTATCTTAAAGGTCTTAAAATTAGTCCCTGGACTCAGGCAATCCTCTCGTCCCTGCCTCCCAAAGTGCTGGGATTACAGGCATAAGCCACCAAGCCTTAAGGATTTTTTTATGCAAGACACAGAAAGCACCTACCATAAAGAAAAAAGGTCTTAAAGGTTTTAAAATTAGTCTCAAACAAATCTTCAAAATCTGTGCTCTCTAGTATTATGGTTGGCAACCACATGTGGGTATTGAGCACTTGAATCATGGTTAGTCTGAATTAAGATGTGCTGTAAGTGTAAACTACATGCCAAATTTCAAAGGCATAATATTAAAAAGAATATAAAACATCTTAATAATTTTGATACTGATTACATGTTGAAATGTTATTTTGGATATAATGGGTTAAATAAGATATAATGTGAAATCAGTTTCATTCTTTTATTCTACAAAGCTTCAAAATTGCATAATTGGCTCACATACTTACAGAGTCTAGAAGTATACTTATCCAACAGAACTTTCTGTAATGATGGACATGTTCTGTATCTGTACTAAGATGGTAGTCATTAGCTACATATGGTTATTGAACATTTAAAATTTTTTATTTGATTATTATTATTATTTTGAGTCGAGGTCTTACTCTGTTGCCCACACTGGAGTGCAGTAGCACAATCACGGCTCACTGCAGCCTTGACTTCTTGCTTTAGGTGATTTACCTGCCTCAGTCTCCCCAGTATCTGGGACTACAGGCATGTAGCACCATGTCTGGCTAAATTTTAAAAATTCTTTTTTGTAGAGTGAAGTCTCATTTATGTTGCCTAGGCTGGTCTCAAACTCCTACACGCAAGCAATTTTGCCTTGACCTCCCAAAATGCTGGGATTACAGGTGTGAGCCGCTGTGCCTGGCCGCTTTTGAGCATTTAGAATGTGGCTTGGGTGACAAGAAGTTGTTTTCAATCTAGTTTTAGTTTGTTTAAATACCCACATGTGACTAGTGGCTACTATATTAGACAGGGCAGTTCTGGACACTAGTATTTTAACATTTCTTGTTCTAGATTTAGGTTCATAAGCCATCTGTAATTTATTTTTGTATAGTGTGAGGTGGGGGGTTACATTTTATTTCTTCTGCATTTAAATCCAATTGACCAAGCACCAAGGAAAAGGACCACCCTTTTCTGTTTTTAGCTTACATTTTTTCCCTTTGGCCTATTTGTTTTTCATTATACCAAATGCCACACTGTTTTTAATGACTGATAAAGTAAATGCACCTATTTTTGTTCCTCAAGGATATTTTAGCCATCCTTGACCCTTTCTGTTTCCACTTATTTTTCCCCCTTTTTAAGACATGGTTTCACTTTGTTACTCAGACTGGAGTGCAGTGGCACAATCATGGTTCACCACAGCCTTGGACTCTTGGGTTCAAGTGATTCTGCTGCCTTAGCCCCCAAGTAGCTGGGACTACAGGTGTGCATACCACGCCCAGTTCATATTTTTGTTGTTGTTGTTGTTGAGTTGGAGTCTCACTCTGTTGCCCAGACTGGAGTGCAGTGGCTGCTCCCGGCCACCGCAGCCTTGACCTGCTGGGCTCCGGCGATCCTTCCGCCTCAGCCTTCCAAGTAGCTGGAATTACAGGCACGCGCTACCACGCCCGGCTGATTTTTTGATTTGTTGTAGAGATGAGGTCTCGCTGCCCAGGCGGGTCTTGAACCCGCGGGCTCAGGCAATCCACTCACCTCAGCCTCCCAAAGGCGCGGGATTACAGGCTGAGCCACCGAGCCTGGCTCCAGTTCATATTTTTATGTGTGGTAGAGACAGGTCTCACTATGTTGCCCAGGATGGTCTTGGAACTCCTGGTCTTAGGCAGTTGTCCTGCCTCAGCCTCCCAAACTGTTGGGATTACAGGTATGAGTTACATTTTCTTTAAAATGTGGTCCTTAACTATGTAAAAAATCTTATATACCTTTTGTTAGATTGATTCCTAGCTGTTTGCTTCTGTAAATGGTATTGTTTCTAATTTCTTTTTTTGAGTTGGAGTTTCACTCTGTTGCCCAGGCTGGAGGGCAGTGGCATGCTCACTGACACTGCAGCCTCAATCTACTGGGCTTAGGCAATCCTTCCACCTCAGACTTCCAAGTAGCTGGAACTACAAGCGCATGCTACACCCCCGGCTTATTTATTTATTATAGAGATAAGGTCTCACCAAGTTGCCCAGGCTGTTCTCGATACCCCCGGCTCAAGCAATCCTCTCGCCTCGGCCTCCCAAAGTGCTGGGATTACAGGCTGAGCCACTGTGCCTGGCCTCTAATTTCATTTTCTAATGATTACTGGCATATAGGAATACATTTGCTTTTAGGTTATTGTCCTTGTGTTCCGCAATTGGACTAAATTAACATTTTCTTATAGATTGTTTTAGATTTTCAACATGCTTCTACCATTTGTGAATAATGACAGCTTTATTTTTTTCTGATTCTTACATATTTTATGTTTATTTCTTTTTCCCTTATTGCACTGACCAGGACCTCAAGAGGCAGGGATTAGCAACTTATTTGTAAAGGGCCAGATAGGAAACCAGTTCCTGTATACATGCATAGATTCTTGAGTGTTTTGTTTAACAGGAGCCAGAGCAGTCTCGAGGGTGCGTCTTTTGTATTTATTCAAAGGGCTGTTCACTGTTTTGTTTTTTTTTAAGTTGGAATCTCACTCCATTGCCTAGACTGGAGTGTAGAGGCAGGTTCCCGGTCACCGCAACCTTGACCTGCTGGGCTACAGTGATCCATCCACCTCAGGCTTCCAAGTAGCTGCAACTACAGGCGTGCGCTACCACACTTAGCTAATTTTTGATTTATTGTAGAGACAAGGTCTCGCCAAGTTGCCTGGATGGCCCTCGAACCCTCAGGCTCACGTTGGCCTCCCAAAGTGCTGGGATTATAGGCTGAGCCACCAAGCCCGGCTGATGTTCACTATTATGATTAAGAAGGAAGAGTCATTTTTATAGGGAATTGGAGAGGAAAAGACTGTTTCAGAGTTATGAAAGAAAGGGGGTAAAACATTTGCTTAGTGGATTGGCAACTGTAGAGAACTTATTATTATTTTGAATGTGCCTGGGTGGATACTAATGCTTGTTTCTCTCTTTAAATCCCTTTAGGAAAAATAGAAATGAAGGTACATATGCACACAAAATTTTGCCTCATTTGTTTGCTGACATTTATTTTCCATCATTGCAACCATTGCCATGAAGAACATGACCATGGTCCTGAGGAGCTTCACAGACAGCATCGTGGAATGATAGAATCGGAGCCAAGCAAGTTTTCAGTGCTGGCTGCTGAAAATGAAAAAAAATACTATATTGAAAAACTTTTTGACCGTTATGGTGAAAATGGAAGATTATCCTTTTTGGGTCTGGAAAAACTTTTAACCAACTTGGGCCTTGGAGAAATAAAAGTAGTTGAGATTAATCATGAGGATCTTGGCCACGATCACGTTTCTCATTTAGATATACTGGCAGTTCAAGAGGGAAAGCATTCTCACTCACATAGCCACCAGCATTCCCACAGTCACTTAAATTCAGAGAATCAAACTGTGACCAGTGTATCAACAAAAAGAAACCACAAATGTGATCCAGAAAAGGAGACAGTTGAAGTATCTGTAAAGTCTGAGGACAGGCATGTACATACGGACCACACCCATCGTCTGCGCCACCACCACCGTGTGCATCATCACCTCGATCACAACACCACTCACCACGTCCACAATGATTCTGTGGCTCCCAGTGAGCGTGGGGAACCCAGCCACGGACCTTCCCCAGAGACCAATAAAACACAGGAGCAGTCCGATGTTAAGCTACCGAAAGGAAAGCGAAAGAAAAAAGGGAGAAAGAGTAATGAAAATTCTGAGGTTATCACTCCAGGCTTCCCCCCTAACCATGATCAGGGCGAACAGTATGAGCACAATCGGGTCCACAAGCCCGATCGTGCGCATAACCCGGGTCACTCCCATGTGCATCTTCCAGAACACAGCGATCATGATCCTGGTCACGGACACCAAGACCTTGATACTGATAACGATGGTGAACACCGACACACTAGGAAGCGAGAGGCTCCGCATGTTAAAAAAAGTGCAATTTACTCAGCAGCTGGCCACAAAGAGCACAGTGAGGATGAGCGGCAGCACGAAGTAAGTGTGGGAAGAATCTCAGATGATTGTGGTACGTTTTAAAGGTTGGATACCAGTGGGGTGCTAGTCGTGTTGAAGCATATTTGCGTATCTTTCCATATGGAGCATCAGGTAACATTCCTGAACAGAATGTGCTAAGGAATCAAAATCAGTATAAAGGTTTTTTAAAGCTAGATTCTCCCTTGTATGGTTTGTCTCCCCTCCCTTCCCCTCCTCTGCCCTACCCTCCCTGTCGCCGTAGCATAGTCATGGCTCATTGCAGCCTCGACCTCCTGGGTCAGGCGATCCTTCCTTAGCCTCCAAGTGTCTGGGACTACAGGCACACTACCGTGCTGGCTACTTTAAAAGTTTTTTGTAGCTACAAGGTCTCACTGTGTTGCTTTGGCTGGTCCTGATCTCAAGCAGTCCTTTCTGCTTAGCTGGGAAGTGCTGGGATTACAGGCATGAGCCACTGTGCCCAGCTGTGTTTTTTTCTTATATTCTCAAGTTTAGGTTCTTCAAATCTAAATGTTTACATCTTGTTAGCAAATATTTCTTATGAATTGTTTGACTCTCCAAGTATTTTACTTTGTTACTGTTAGCTGGTTTCTGGGTACATGACAGTTAAAACCTTTTTTTGTTGTTGTTTAACCTGGCCTTTTGGGAAGTAACTAGAACAGCTTCTGTTTCATAATTATTAATCTGTTGAGGTAATTATCGAGTGGTTCCCAGTCATTGATCAAACTCCCAAGTCAGGTATTATGCACATGCGGTATGCTTGTTTTCTCTTTGCTTTATGTTAGACCTGCTTACTTTTGATACCGCTGTTTCCTCAGGCCTTTAACTAGCTTAGGGTGAAGGCAAAAATATATAATAATAGGAAACTCCAGAGCAGTGGGTTAGTCCTTTTTTACTTTAAGTTTTCATACTCTTGTGTACTTTAACATTTGATTGGATCTTTCTTGTTTGTTTTTTTTTTAACTATCTTAAGCACATTTTATTCTTGTTTCATTAAAGGTATGTCAACACCCTCGTTTATTTTAATTTTAGCATACTTGTTAAAGTTTAGACATATTTGTTGAATTTGTTCTTTATATGTATAAAAAGTAGGTCAGTGTGGAAAATGGCCTCATCCTTTCTGACACTATCATTTTGGAAATATGTTTTACATCTAAGTAAATGTCTTTGATTCCCCACCCCCCTGGATTAACCATTAGCTATTTGTTTTTTGGTAGTTATAAACACTAATTTTATTTTTTCAAAATTAAAAAAAAATTAATGAATTAGAGACAGGAGGGTCTTGCTATGTTGTTCAGGCTGGTCTCAAAGTCCTTGCCTCAAGCAATCCTTCTGCACAATGTTGGGATTACAGGTGTGAGCCACCATACCTGGTCTGCGCTAGTTTTAAAATGACATGTATTAAGATCTTAGTATGCCTTTTTTTTTTTTTTTTTGAGTTTGAGTTTGAGTCTTACTCTGTCACCCAGACTGGAGTGCAGTTGCCGCTCCCGGCCATTGCAGCCTTGACCTGCTGGGCTCCGGCGATCCTTCCACCTCAGCCTTCCAAGTAGCTGAAACTACAGGCGTGCGGTACCATGCCCGGCTAATTTTTTGATTTATTGTAGAGATGAGGTTTTGCCAAGTTGCCCAGGCAGGTCTCGAACCTGCGGGCTCAGGCAATCGACTCACCTCAGCCTGCCTAAGCGTGGGATTACAGGCTGAGCCACCGAGCCCGGCTGTTAGTATGTTTTTATAGTATACATTATTTTGGATAATTCCCTAAAACCTTCTGTTGATGCTAATTGGATTTTGTTATTCATATTTGCTCTCTGCCTCAGCCCTATGAGGTCTGCCCCATCAGACTTGTATTGGTGACTGACAGGTCTGATGCCTCCTGGGGATTCTCTCATGATGTCTGAAAATGTTCTGTATGTTGATCAGGGTTGTGCCTTGTGGAATTAAGAGCTAAGGAGAATTGTTTTGTGTTTGTAAGTTTTGATTTGGGTTTTTGGTGATTTTTTTCTGCCATAGATAAATGGTCTAGTGAAGTATAGCAGGTCAGTAAACAAGCATGCTGCAAGAGTGGATCTGTGCCAATGGGGGCAGTGCCGTTTCTTTTGCCTTGATTTTAAATAACCTGTTTTTATCATGTGATAGATCCAGACTTTTTTGCTATTTGTTTTTTGCTTTGTTTTATTTTGTTTTTAAAGTACCTGTGAACGAAGCTGCCTTTTAAAAAATTTTCCAGTTTTGTCCCCGTCAACTGACATTAATTAGGCCAGCATTTCTCAAAACAGTATTCTTTTGTAGTGCTTTTGGCAATGAAAATGTCTATATTATGGTATATTTTAATATAAGTTATTAAAGTACTCTAAGTCTATTTAATACTGTTTCACAAATAAGGATCCTGAATCACTGATGACTGCAGTTCAGCGGAGAAGTGGGTTTTTTCCTCATCCCTTAAGAATCTTGTGGCTATAGTTCTGAGTCATTCTAATCCTTGGCAGAAAGTCATTATCTTTCATGTGTTGGAGTGAAAGAATGATTGGAATCCATAAAAAGTTTTGGGTAATTTAGTTTAATGAATCCCTGTTACAAGTTTTTACAAAAAAAGTTTTGTTTGTAACAGATACCTGTGTATTATAGATTACTTCCAAATAATATTTAGAGTATTTTTTTATTATTCAGTAATTTATTTTTTTTGCATACTCTTCTTAAAGACATTCCCTTACTTAATTTGTTTTATCAATTTCCTTGCAGTGTTTGAACGTCACCCAGTTATTAAAACACTATGGGCATGGTGCCAACTCTCCCATCTCAACTGATCTATTTACATATCTTTGCCCTGCACTGTTATATCAAATCGACAGCAGACTTTGTATTGAGCATTTTGACAAACTTTTAGTTGAAGATATAAATAAGGATAAAAATCTGGTTCCTGAAGATAAGGCAAATATAGGGGCATCAGGTAAGAAAGAGATTTTAAGTTTTTTCTCCTTAAAATAGTGCCTGTACTTATTTTTTAAACCTTGGTTGAATTAGAAAGTAATTATAAATTGTTGATTTTTCTTTTGGTGTCAGACTTCAAATATATTTTAATCAGGTTTAGATATGCATGCTTAAAAGAAATTGGGGGAAGCCAGAGAGCACAGTACAATTTATTTATCTTGTCTGGCATATTACAAAGGAACATTTTGCTATAATGGAGAACTAGATTCAAAAGGAAACACAGGGTTGTGATAAATTTGTTTTTCTTGATGAGCAAATGTAAGCAATGGGGCCGCTAATTAAAGTTATTTGGTCTTGTTATTACTTACAATTTAGCAGGTGCCTCTGGTGAAAAGCAGATGATTAAATTTTTAAAGAAGTTAAAAGGGGAAGTTAGCATGGTTAAGCTCCAGGAATGTCTCAGAAATGCCAGATGAACTTGCCACGGGGACTTAATCATCCCTGTAACCAGGGTTACAGCTGTATTTAAACTTTTGTGGACTCTTCTTTCATCCTATCTAGTTGACTAGATAGCGCCACCTCAGTGTTCACAGACGCCTCCCATTTAGGGTTTCAGAGCTTCTCCACAGCCGGCCCCTCCGAATGGATCTCAGATGCTGTTACAGCTCGTTCTTTTGATAAAATTTGGAACTCTCTTTGCTTTCTCTTCTGTTTCTTTTCTTCCTTTCCCTTCCTTCCCCTTGTATGACCAGTGATGAAGTCCACTTGAATCTTTCGAGTGTCTCCTAACTCCATCCACTCTGCTGTAACAGCTCAGGTTCTTGATTGTCAGACTGAGTCACTTCATGCCCTTCTCTGCCTGTGTTCTTGTCCCCCCTTGCAAAACAGCTCTGGCACTTTAGATTTAACTTTCTAAAATGGCAGACATTCTCCAACATGAAATTTTTCTTTACAGTGCTAGCTAATTTAATACATAGTTTAAATACATAATTTATTTTTTACTTAGCAAACACATATTGCAGACAGGGTTCTAAATGTAGTTCATTTTCTCCTCACAGCAGTCTTAGGAGGTGGGTAATATTATTCTTCTGGTAACCCTCCCAAGGTCTCAGGGCCACTAAGTGATAGGGCTGGCATTCATGCCTGTGTAGTTTAAACATTTTGCTGTCTGTGCACTGTTTTACATGCATTTTTCCCCCACTAAATTTTAGTAATAATTTTAGTAATAATCTCTGTGAGGGAGATAGTATATGATTCTTGTTTTTACAGATAAGAAAACTGAGGCATAGAAAAGTTAAGTAACCTGCCCACAGTTCACAGCCCTAATATGTGACAGAGCCCACAAACGCTAAGTTTTGTCTGATAAAACTGGGCATCTGATCCCTATGCCATTATCTTCTAAATGTAGTTAATTCTGGCCGGGCTCAGTGGCTCAGCCTGTAATCCCAGCACTTTGGGAGGCTGAGGTGAGTAGATTGCCTGAGCCCGCGGGTTTGACACCCACCCAGACAACTTGGTAAGACCTCGTCTCTGCAGTAAATCCAAAATTAACTGGGCGTGGTAGTGCACGCCTGTAGTTCTGGCTACTTGTAAGGCTGAGTTGGAAGGATCGCCGCAGCCCAGCAGGCTGAGGCTGCGGTGGTTGGGAGTGTGCCACTGCACTCCAGCCTGGGTGACAGAGTGAGACTCCAACTCAAAAAAATAAATAAATAAATGTAGTTAATTCTAGTATCACTTTTATGATTTTTGCCATATATTTTTTACACTATTTGATGCTTTTTATTGTATCTCTGGTATTTTTCTTTACATCCCTGAGAGCATGGATGTGATGTTATGTGCTAGTTACATGTTTTTCTCATGCATTCAGGAAGTTGCATCATGCTATGTTGTCTTAAAGTTCAGAGTCCTTTACTTGGCTCAAACGACTTTCCATGATAGGATCCCCGTCTACCTGCCTTGATGACTGATCTCTCACCCTTCATTTTTCTCCTCTTTTCTCAGTTCTAACCATAGTGAACTACTGATAATAGATTGCACCATTTGTCTCTTATCCGTCTCTGCCTCTTCACATTCTGAACCTCTGCCTGACTGCTGATTCCTCAAAGATTCAGCTCAACCCTCTGAGTAAATTTACTGATCATCCTGGGCTAAATTAAGTTCCTTGTTTTGTGCCTCTAGATGTCCCCATCATAGTACCGGTCTTGGGGGATCTTAATAATTGGATTAATCTATTTCTGTTGGACTTTAGTTGCTTAAAGGCAGTGACTGAACCTTTCATCTTGGATATTCCTGGTGCCTAAGATAAAGAGAACTTTAGATAAAAAGCAAGAACTCATGTGACCGAATGAATAAATTGCTTAAGATTAGGATTAGTCTATATGCTTTCAGTTGTAATCCAGGAAAGATAATTGTTTAAAATGTGTCTTTGAAGATCATTATATGAATATATCAGTCAGCCTGGTATACTTTGATAATAAAATGTTCTCAAATGAGGGGAATTTTTAGTGAACTTTTTTTTTGGTGCAAAACTATGATGAAATTACTGGAGTTTTAGGGTAATGAATGCAGTTTTGGTTGAAATGCCCAAGATATAGACCCTTTAAAGGATAGTAATTAAAATGACTAAAATGATATATGTGACTGTGGACCAAAAAGTACATTCTGGCAAGAAAGGATCGAAATGGCAAATTTTTCAAACATTTTATAGTATAGGAACAAGGTAGCCATGTTTAGGAATATCACGTTTCGGTATGTAATTTTATTTGAGATAGAGAGATTTTTTAAAGCTTAAAAGATTTTAAATAAAAGAAAATGCTGTTATTACACAATAAGGTAAGTCTCCTAGGCACCTACATTTCTGTTTCTGGGCAATTTTTTTTGCAATAGGAAAATAACTTTAGAGTAGATAAATTAATCATAATATCTCATATTTATTGGGACTTTACTATGTGCTGTACCAAACCCTAATTTTTCTAAGTACATTTCATTTAATTTGTTAAACCCACGTGATGGCCTCTTTTATTTAATTCTATTTGGCGAGGAAAAGAGGCTTGGAGAAGAGCCCTGATGTGAACTGTGGTCTCCACCCACAACTTGCCATCATACTCACTGTGTTGCCTACTCTACTGCTTCCTGCTGAGAAGGTTCTTTTGTATGCTGGGCTAGGATGTGAGTGGCAGAGGGATGAGGAGAGTTGTATGTCGTTACATTTAGTAGCATTTTGGCAGAATGTAGACATAGGCAGGAAAGTGGTAGAGAATAAGCACTGGTGTGAGTATTGTTACATGTGTAGATAATTCGGTTAAAAAAAATCCGAGAATAGTCTTCTGGGTAGAAGTTGGGTTCAGTCTGCTAAAGTCCGTAAGGGCAGAGAAAGTGGGTCCCCTAGCTAGGTTTGAATTCTGATCTTGGGATGGATAAAATGTGTCCTCGGCTTTGTGCTTGTTGCTCCTGGGAGACGAATTAGCACCTTGAGAGTCACGGTTCCTCTCAGGTGTCTCCAAGTTCTCACTGAGTTAAAAATAAAATTCATTTATTTGTTCCTTACAGGGAAAATGGAGACTGACAAGTGTCTCATCCAAAGTTAAAACTACTTGCTTTTTTAATTCTGAAGGTTCTAGAAGATTCTTGTTTTTTGTTTTCATATCACCTATGGATTATGACTTTTAATTAGAGTTGTCTGTGTTGTAATATTGCCATAATTGATATATTGTGATAAACTGTTGACAGATGGTTGACTATATAGTAATATTGAAAGTTAATAGCTTATTCAGTCTGAAAAGCCTTAGAGGAAATTGTACTTGCTTTGGAAACAAATATGTTACTAATAGTGAATATTGATTAGTTGTTTGCAGGTGGTTATTAGCATTGCCAGAAATGCAGCTTGAATTAATTATGTACTGATAGATGTTAATAATTGTTAGAGATAACGCCCTGCTAGTAATTAGTTTTAATGACTACTGCACCATTAAGAAAGGTTAACTTGTTCTATATAAATCTCCCATAGTGACACAGCTACTACCTCATTAACTTTGTTCAAAGACTGCAGTAAACCTAATATGCTATATACTGTGTATGGTAGAAATCGTTTGTTTCCCAAGATTGGCTCATTTAGTCATGGAGTTGACCCTAGCTTAATTACCAGGGGGGCTTGTGAACAGGCCGCTAAGCATTTTCTGCCAATTAAAATGCTGAAGCCGTGTAGGAAACTGCCATCTTACACAGGCTTTGAACCAAGTTAATTAGAAAGTTTCCACAGATGAGCGCTTCTTTTTAAAAGAATGCGTTTTCTCTCTAGATAATGAGAAAGGGAGTTTGTGAATAACCAAGCTTGAAGACCTGTAACGTTTTAAGTGACCTAATTTGCAGAATAAGTGAAGCTTGTTTCAGACATTTAGCACTTTTTATTGCATGTGGTATCTTGGGTGCAAATAAAGAAAACATTTACTAGTTGTATTTAATAGTTTGCGTGCCGTTAGTTTGGTATAAAATGTTTAAAAGATGTCTTTTATTTATTTCTTTTTGCTTTAGACCAAATAAATTGTTATTAAAAAGCACAACAATTTGGTTAGAAATTAATTTTATTACTAACATTGCTTTTTTCCCTACACCTAGGAAATTAGGACAGAGTTTATATGGAAGCGTAAATGTAAATGTTATAAGTCCTAAAAATAAGTATTTAAATAGCATGAGAAAGTATTTTAGCACAATAAGTTCAAAGCAACTTCACATTTCTTCTCATAGGTCAAAAGGATTATTATATTTCTTGAAGATATACACGTTGTTAGAAGAATGAATGGTCACTTAAATCTGTAGTGCTCTAAATTATTTGAGCTACCAGTAAATGATTCAGAATAAGAAAACATACATTTACACTTAGGAGAATAGTAGGACTGTTTTCCTAATGAAATAACTATCAAGGAATAGTTGCAATCTAGTGCCTGTACATTTTCTGATTTATCTCAAAAGGGAAATCTGATTTTTCACTCCTTATTCCTTGGGACTGGCAGGAATAAGTGA